GAGAGAGAGAGAGAGAGAGAGAGAGAGAGAGAGAGACTGATGGCTGTGTGGAACTAAAACTATTCCGTTTATTTTTTTTCTAAAACACTGGTTAAGACTAAAGACATACATAGCATTTTCTTGTGTACCCCATCACAATAATAACCTCCGTACATATTCTAACTGCTCACTACTACGTCTTAGACACATAACCTTATTACCACTATTAGAATCCACAAACTCACATTTCTAGACGAATCCGCAGCCACCATGGACAGCAAACATATGGGGAATACGAGAACTGCTTCCCTGAGCGTCATTTCACTTGTTTTCGTCTTGTGATTCGGGTGATAATGTTGTTGAGAGGAGGTCGTTCGCGTAGGGGAGAGCTGTGGATTCTCCCGGATTGCACTGCCTAAACAGCTGTTTTGATGAAACTGTTAATTAACACGTTTATCAGTTAGATAAGATTTGCTGATTAGAGTCTGAGGTCGAGTGTCAATGTCACTTATATTTTCACATCATGTGCTTTTGTAAATGGATGGGAAAAGATTGGGAGGGGGAGTTGGAGGGGATATACATACATACATACATACATACATATATATATATATATATATATATATATANTAGAACAAACACAGTAAAAGGCTGTTGAGAATATAATTATAGCACACGTGTATTGTTATTTTTATCTGCGATCCCAAAAACTGGCTAAATATATATATATACATAATATATATATATATATATATATATATATATATATATATATATATATATATATATAATATATAACAGTAAATAAATAATATATCTTATCTACATTGGCACGCCATTTCTCAAAAAAGGTAAAGCAAATGATAAGCAGGACATACATTTACTCGAGGTTTAGGCCACCACTCTGCTTTGCGCTACCGGTGGCGAACGTAACTCCATTCAGAGTCGTGGCCATCACCGTTTTTTTTTTTTAAACACAAATACGGCACCATTTTGTGATTCTGAAACCATCACACATTCTAAAACCCACACATACAACAATGCACACGTGACCCCCCCCCCCCCCCCCCGTCTCCACTCTCAAAACAAACCAGTCGTGACGAAAATAAGCAAAGAAACATTTCTCACAAAAAAGAAAATGTAATTCAACAAAACTCTCTTCATCTTCCATGACTGTAAACCTTGACACTGTTAGTGTCAGTATGTGTTAACGACTTGACTCCTGTTCTCCTTTTTAGCATTAGATTTATATCCCGAGAAGAACAGAGCATGGACGATGAAAAAGAACAACGAGGCCATTTGACGCCTGGGCTCTCGAAGCTAAGGTTAAGTTGCGCGCTTCGGCCACCACGAGGTCTTCCGGCCTCGCTGACACTCGACGGCGAAACACTTGAAACAGTTTATCATGACAAAAAAAGGAAAAAAAGAATAAAATGTTATGACAGATAAACACATGATCTGCAGAGGATCATGTTCACAATTCGGATTTTCTGCTATTCTTTTCGGGGCTCTTACACTGTCGGACCTGCGTCACGTGGCCCCTGCCTGCGACGTGGGAAGGGAAGCGCATTGTCTCCGCGCCCTTTGTCCTACTTCTCTTGTTCATGAGGCTGTTACCGCTGTCAACATTTTTGTCTACCTTGCATTTGGGTTTGTTGCTTGCCGCTGAGAGGATCTGCATGTGCTTGCAAGTTTCCGCGCGTGGGAATGTAAGCCGCACTGCCATCATATATTGAAAAACCACTTGTTCAAGCTTAGTGGGTCTTCAGCACAATTTATGACAAAAGGGGACGAATGCCTCGTCGACAGTTCGTTGGGTTCTCCCTTAACCCCCCCCCCCCCTGCCCCCGCACCTGACATCCATTGCGTAGCAGGTTACCCGCACGACCTCCACGCAGCTTTTTATATCTACAGCCTCGCCAAAAGCACCATGGCCTAATATGGCAGAGAAAGAAACTCGAAAGCCTCCAGTGGCAAAAAAACGGCTTTATGGGCCGAGCAATTGGAACAACATGCCATTATCGGCTTCGGTGTGTGCCAATCGCAGCAGCACCTTTGGACCGCGACCAATGGCAGCCTCGACCTCAAGGCCCCCACCTATATCTGCAGGAGCGCCATGTGGGAGGCCGCTTTCTTGTCTGAAATCCTTGTGATGGATCCCCTCTGCCTCCGCCTTCAATCGCCTCTGGGTTGACTGGTACGAATCTGAAGAAAGTAAGAAAAGAGGAAACTGTACATTCCACACAGACAACAGACTATACAGGACAGAACGTTCATACCGACTGTCAAGTAAACACGGAAGCGATATATAATGTTTAACGTTATCATGAATCTGGCAGAGCAATCACTCAACAACCAAAGCCTCGGTGATCGGCTGTCCGGTCACATGCAACAGCTGATCACTGTTGCAGCTATCACTAATTGGTTGCACAATCCCGTCCTCGCCTATAATATGATCGGCAAGCTCCGTGGCTCGAACATTATAATGACATGCTAATAGGATCTGAAGTCGTGGGCTTCGGATCAAAAGGTTTAAACTCTGTCACTTCGCGGAATCGGATACCATTGCGAGCAAAATGTCCTCGTGTCTTATAAGCGGAAATTATGTGTGTATGCGCGCGCGTCTCTGTAATATATATATATATATATATTATATATATATATAT